TTGGTAGGGTGTTGTTTATATGAAATTGATTTATCGCAAGCTCGTAGCTATGAATTTTCAGTGGGGCGAGGGCACTGTTTATTTAGAGGGGTCAATTTTTCTTTAAAACAAAAAGACACTCATAGAAAATTTTTGTTATTTTTATTGAAATTTTTTAAATGCAAATGAATGAATATACAAATAATGCACAATAAAGCCAATACCAATAAAAATAAATTGAATAAAATGGATTGTATGATTAATATAAAATGGAAAGAGATATTGAAGGAGCTTACCACCTGGAAAGGTGAAAACTTAAAAGGAAAAAAAATATATAACATGAAAATTTTTTATTTTTAAATTTTAACATAGAGAATTAAAAACGAAATTTTAAGTTATTATTTTCCATACATACCAAAAAATCGAAGACTTTTAGGCTCTTTACGAACGCTTGAGGATTTTTCCGGGGTTAGATTAAATTTTGATATAAAATTTCAGCCTCAATCTTTATTAAGTCGAATAAATGTATCAACGGATTGAAGATACTTATTGAATGACAATTGTTGCTAATATTTCATTAATTACAATGGCCAATATAATTTATATTTTACATTTATGCATTGAGAAAAAAAACCAGTGGCTTAGACTGAATCATGAGTAGAAACTTTCTAAGAGTCCCTATTAGGAAAGTAAAATATTCACACCAATAGCCTCATGATTTTCATAAATGATAAGAGATGTTGCCAAATGACTAGTCCATCTTTTGTTTAAGTCTTTTAAGAGTGTGGCCTATATATTTACATAATACGTTAAAACGCCATAAATTGTATAAATATTTGCTAAATTGAAAAAATTAAAATTACAGAATATACCAATTATCAGAGTTGATAAAGTATCTAGATACTAGATATAAAAATGTGATATCTGTATCTAGATAGATTTTTTAAAAGTATCTGTATCTCGATATTATTTTAGAGGTATCTGTATCTGTTTTTAGTTATTTTTTAGTATACATTTGATATACTTTTATATAACGCCTTCTTATATTATAAATAAAAATACTTGAATACAAAATTTATTTTATATGAGCATATAATTTAAATATATATAAATATTTATTAAATATTATGTTTGAGTTTTTCAATAAACCAGACAAATTTTGATATTACAATCCATCTCAAGGAATCTGCCATTTTTATTTTCAATGGAATTGGTTAGTTTTATTTTATTATACTAATTTCAAAAATTTATTTTAAATTAATATTATAGTGATTAAGAAGAAGTTATAATTAATGAAGAATCAACAAGTTCAGACATTGTTTTTCCATGGCCAATTTATAGAGCATATTTTAAAATAATATCTCAAAATAAAGAAAAAAAATCTCTGATAGAAGTCTAAAAAAATACGAAAATTTGAGTTAGCATTACCTCAACTTGCAACATTGTAAAACATTTAAGGGGATAGAATAGATACTAAATAAATGTTCACAATTGTAATTTTCAGAGTTTATAATGTATCTAGATATAAAAATGTGGTATCTGTATCTAGATAGATTTTTGATTAAAGTATCTGTATCTAGATATTATTTTAGAGGTATCTGTATCTGTTTTAGATACTTTTTAAGATACATTTTGATTATAAAATATAAATAATTGAATGTAAAATTTATTTTATTTCATATGAGCATATAACTTAATATTAATATATATATATTAAAAAATATATATATATATATATATGTAAAATATTAAAACTTATATATAAAAAAGATTATATAAATATTATGTCCGAGTTATCAATAACATGCAAATTCTGATATTACAATCCATCTCAAGGAATTTGCCATTTTTAATTGCAATGGAATTGGTATTTTATTTAATTTTATTCTATTATATTAATTATTATATTAATTTATCATTGATAATATCTCAAAATAAAGAAAACAAATCTCTGTTAGTAAAATGTTTGCCATGTCTACCAAAAAATATGCAAATTTTAGTTAGCATTACCTCAACTTGCAACATTGTAAAACATTTCAGGATATAGATACTAAATAAATGTTTACAATTATAATTTTAAATTTTAAGAGAAAACATCAAACACTCTTAATCCAAAATAAAAAGGGGGAAGGAAAAAAATCTATTAAAGAAAATATTGGACTAGGCTCATCGTCCAGTGATTTTTTTCCCAAGAGATCTCAGACTTTAACCCAAACACTTTAGATGATTTAATAACTGATTTTATTATAGATAACATTCAGCCATTTTCAATTGTTGAAAATCCTTCATTTATAAAAATGATCAAAACATTAGCTCCACAAAAAAATATAATTTGCCAACAGACAGTGGTTGGTAGAATTTCCCAAAGATGGGAAAATGAAAAGAAAGAAATCATAAATAGCTAAATTTAAATTTTATAATAATAAGTAAGAATAAATTATTTGAGCAGTTTTAAGAATTATTAATTTTTAGTTTATACATAGGAGTCACTGCATACCAAGAATTGGAAAGAAAAAATGTAACGTTGGCTTGTAATGAATAACTGGTAGTCATACATATGATAAAATAGCAAAGAATTTACAAGATATAGCAAAGGATTATTGCATTCATAATAAAATCTCAAAGACCATTGAAAATGGCAAATAAATGGATAAAATTTTAATTAAAAAAAAACAATTAATACAAAAATTAGTTGATGAATTATTAAGGTTTTCAATTGATTGCTATGATAAAAAAAAATTTAATATCCGATTTTTTTCAATACTCCACAGCAGAGATGATTGTTAATAATGATTTAAATTTTGATACTCAACAAATTTTAAATAAATCTTTTCAAAAATGAATGTCGAGATTTTAGTATTTTTAAAGAATATTCTGATATAAAATTGTTATTCATAAAATATAACACCAATAACCTTTCAAGCGCCCCGGTAAAAAGATTTTTTAATGTAGTTAAAATGTCCTTACAGATAAACGAAGATGCCTTAATGACCAAAATTTTTAAAATATTTTATTACTCAAACCTAATAATTATTTATAATCATTTAATCATATATTATATTAAAATCTAAAAATCATTATTTTAGTTATATTTTGATAAAATAGAGTCAATAAATTATTTAGCTAAATTCATGAATTTTCACAATAGAATCCTAATTTAGTTTATGCAAACTTTATATAAGAGTATAATAAAAGTTGTATCTGTTTCTAGATCCATTTAAAAAGTATCTTTTAACAACACTGTCAATTATTAACAAGTTACAATTTATGATTGAAACAAATTTTATATAAGAAACCTTTTAATTAATTTTTTTGAAGCAAAGTTTGTATTCTTCCATTTCGATCAGACATGACATTTGTAACCATCAGGCGCTTGGCTTATTATATTAGATAAATTAATTTATCGCTAAAATGTTTTAAAATGCAATTTGTAATGCTTTCAGCGGGAAATTTTTATATCAATCATTCCTATTAAAATTTCTTGGATTTTTTCATAAACCGAATATTTATGCCCAAATTTTCTCAACCTGCTGCATTTTTCATCTCACCCACTGCTAAAAAAACGACATCTCACTTTTGTATAATTTGTTGAGAGATTCCAACACCATTTCTGCCATAATATGACTTAATTTAGAATTTGAATTGTTGTGTATTGGGCATTTATTTGGTATTAATTATATATATTTTTAATGTTTATCTTTTCAAATGTATGAAAACATTGCAGTAAAATTTCCTGAAGAATAAATTATATTACATGTTGAGAAATTGTATTAAATCAGATAATTTCGATTAAGCTCAACTTAATGGTTCCCTAAAATTGTGGATATTTTTCTGTATCCTTTTTTTATATTACGATTTTTATCAAGCCATTGAATTTAAATGACTTTTAGAGGTCTCATGTTTTAACAGCCATATTTTTCTAAAAAATTTGTTGTTTTATTATAGTTAATGACGAATGTAAATTCAATAACTAATATATTTTTTCGATTGGGGGGGGGATATTTTTGGAGGCCATTTCTGGGGGCCAACAACAAGGTTAGGTTTAGGGGTCTAAATTTTTTTTTTGGGGGGGGGGGGAGAAGGGCTCTCACGAGCCAGATTTGTCGACATATATTGTTACAATTTCCTATCAGGTCAATTAAGCGAAATTTTTATCGCAAAACCGATTCTAAATTTTTTCCTGCGAAACATTTACAGCGAAGACAATGTCGCGAATATTTTCGTGAAATATTTATCGAGAATTCATTACAGCTGATGTATTTGCAAGCCATTATCGCGAAATTACAGGAAAAAAATGAATGTTGCGAATGTATTTATTAATAGGAAAACAACATATTAAATAAATTTACCACGCAATTCCTAAATCAAACGCGCGAAATATTTTGGGGTGTTTAATTACCTATTATCAACTAAGTAAGCATGGGTTAGCTTAAATGTGACTTTTACATGGTGATGAAAAAATAATTTATGAATTTCTTTCTATTCCCCCTCACTCATGGCTCTAAGTACGAAGGGGATATTTTTGGTTCAATTTTTTTTACCCCAATAAAATTTCCCCCTCTCTTTTGACATAAATACATTCCATAGAATTAAAAGTAAATTTTAGCAAATATTCTGAAATACTTAGAATTTTCCACATTAAAAATACTGAATATTAAGAATTATTACTGATTTAAAAAAAATAAATTATAGATGAATTTGCCAAGTAAAAATGTTAGTTTTCTGATAATTTAATTTTCCGAGTTACATTTTTTAATTATTGTGTAAATAAGAAAAGTGTTCATTTTAAGAAAATTCTTATTTCTCTAAAAATTGTCCTTCTTTTATCTAAACTCCAGGAACTTAAACATGTTACAAAGGATACCTTTTTTTTATATTTAAAATTTTTTAATTATTTAAATAATATAAACCTAAAATGTAAATTATATATAAAGTCTAATATGTTATATTTTAAAATAAGTTTCTAGGAGATTCATACATTTTTTTGAATGTCTTCCAATTATTATTATCGTCTGCATAATGCCCATCGATATAATTTTTCAATATAATGGTATATAAAAAAATACTTTTACAATCCCCGATTTGAAATATTTATTTAAAATATTATGTTATCAAAAATGTTGATGATTAAACAATTTAATTTCATCTTTAACATAGATTTTGTTTATTATAATATAATACATAATTTAAATATATATTTTACATATTAAAAAAGATTAGAGACCTACAGGCCAGGATCAAACCAGGCCCGACTGCTAAATTTTTTTTTCAATAAACTCAGGCTGGGCGAATTTAAATAATAAATAAGCTCTATCTATTAAATTAGAAAATTATATAACGGCATTTTTAATATTCATATATTGTCATATTTTCAATTATCCTTTTGATACAATTTACAAAATTATTCAAGGTAATAAAATTTTAACCATTCAAGGGTAGAAACATAAAATGATCAAAACTAAAAATTCCAAAATATAAATATGGGCCGGGTTTAAAAATAATTTTTTTCCCCAAAAAAAATGGCTGGGCTGAAATCTGCAGGTTTTGTGAATCAAATAAATAAAAATAATTTTTTTGATTATTAAACGCTTTTTACCAGAGAAAAAAATATATAAATAAATATTGGAGTTATTAGTCCAGATAATTCGTTGTGATTTTTTTTTATGTTTGAATGTTGAATTGGCTATCCTAAATAATATCATGATGTCAATCAACGTTAGAATCGTATGGGCTAACATATTCAACTTCTAATACTACGTCTCCTACCTGAAAAAAAAATGCAGAAAAAATTAGAATTTTTGTAAGAGTATTTGGTAAAAGATTAACGATTGCTCACTTCCTAATATGTTAAAACAATAATTTATATTTTAAAAGCCAAGTCTATCATAAGGTACAAATATAAAACATTGGCGTAACCTGAGCACCCAATATCTTAATGGCATCTTCAATCCTAGAGCTTCGTAGAGATATACCATTTATAGAAAGTATAGCATCTCCAATTTGTAACTGCCTACTTTCTGAATCTGATTGACCTGCGTGAATTTCGGATATAAGGATGGGGATTGCATGGTCTTTGCCGCCCTTTTTATTTAGTACAATAGGTTAAAACAAAATTAAAGATGTACCATAATAGTTTTATCGCATATTATAATATTGAATTTCTGTATAGTATAGATAGGCTCACAACTAACTCGTGGCCTAACTAGAACTAATCGGGTGGGGGGTGCAGCATGGCCCAACCCTACAAATGGCCTAAAATAGAAGCTAAAATTATTTTTACCAAAAAATGCATCCTAATAAAATTTTAAGATGAATTTGTATTTACAATAAAATAAATTAGCACATAAAATATAATCTAATTAAGAAAAAAATCTTCATTTTGCAAAAAAATAACTCAGTGACAGCTCTAGATAATCTGTCGCCCTACGCAAATAAATATTAATCTGTCAGATCATTTAATAAAATGCCCTTTTAACGGAAAAGGGACCGTTTAAGCCATGAATAAAAATAATAATAACATATTTAACATTATATCTTGACTTTAAAAAAAGTACTAATATCTATAATATTTAAAAAATCTAAAATCTTTCTAGACCTTTTGAGAAAAGGTATCATGTACAAATATTTTCCCATCTTTTGCTTTTGGCTAGATATAATAATAATAATATACTTTTTAACAAAGACAATATATTAAATATGCAATATTATTTGATTACCGTTATAGATAATCCGAAGCCATTTTCATTCCTCTTTCTCAATACTACAGTCCTAACTTTGGCAACATTCAGAGCTGCTTTATCATTCGTTTTAAGACCCTTTGTTTCTTGGTTTAGATTTTCCTTGAAATAAAAATTAAAATGGTAATTAATTATTACAATCTTGAGTTTAATAACACTAATTATAAGAGTAAAACCCTATTATGATATCAGTAGTAAAAGTCACGGTTTGGACTTGATTTTCAAAGCCAAACCAAAAACCAAAATGTAAAGACTAAACAGAACTTTGGACTATAAAAAAAGACTAAGCAGGAACGTGAATTAGGAGAGATTTTTTATTATGAGTTTAAAAAAATATCGTACAAAATTGAAAAAAAAATAATTTATTTACGAATATAGAAATAACAAAATAATAGCAACAATAATTTTTTATATTAGCAGAAGTGGTCAAATTATTTTAAAGAGATAGACAAGGAAACCAATTATTAATGTGCACTAATAAAAGAGATGTTTTTAGAATGATTTAACCATATGGATTCTCTATTTATGAACTTGTCATTTAAACATTTCACCATAAATTTAAGCCTACATTAAAATTTAATGTCATCAATGGTAAATAAGAAATAATATATCAACAAAAAGGAGTTAAAGGTCTAAGTGAAATTAAGTAATTTGTATATGAATAATAGAACTTGGTAGATAATAAAACTTCTTACTATTGTTTATATTAAATTATATAATCATAAAAAATATTATATATATAATTAAACATATTTTTCCCCTCTCGGTCCAGATTAGACCAAACCATAGGCCCAAACTATTCCAACCAAAAAAAAACCTGACCATTGATTTTTACTACTTATCAGAAATATTAAGGTTAATATCATGTTTATGTAATTTATGCTATAATTGTAACATAGTATTTCAATTAGAGATATATATGATACTTAATTGGATCACTGTCAATTCTTAGCATATTAAAAATTGGCCATTTCCTGATATTATAATTATTCCTAAATATATGTATATATAACTAGCAAAGTTAGCTTATTACAAAATAAAGGGGAATCATAAAAAGTAATAAATAACAAATGGTGAACACCATTTTTGTATAAAAATACAATTAATTATTTTTTAAACTATAGGCTAATCCTAACTCATTTTTAAGTTTTAATACAATAGGACAAGTTCTGAGATCAAGAATGTCACAGGTTAATTTATTTTTTATCTTTATTGAAGCAATTTGACATTAAATGTGGGCAGCCCTCAGAATATGTTTGATTTCACAGTGGAAGGGACTAATAAAAGTGGTTTTAGCAAAATTTTTATCCAACCTGTATTCAAACCTGGAACCTGTTGTGCCTGAAACGTAATGTTTTGCAATTGAGCTAGCAAATAATTTTAAAAAATTACAAATTATTATGAAGATTATAAACTAGAAAGAATACCATTGCATAAAATTCATGCAAGTATCAGAATATAAATAATTAAAAAAGTATAGGCAGGCCTTAAATTTAAAAAAGTCCCAAGCAAGGCCATTCTTAGATGGTAACTCAAAGGAAAAATTCTATTTAAAATTTAAGTTGTCTTGATTTATATCAATATATTTTTTAAAAGAATATAAAACATATAAAATGCAAAATTTTTTATGATTATTTTAACATAGAATATAAAAAAAATAGGATTTAATCTTACATAACATACTAAAACTTTATATATATCAAAAATAAATTTTATTTCTTATTAAGTATTTAAAATTCTAATTTTAACAATATTAAAAACATATTGCAAAAAATGATCATAAATATCTTGTAAAAACAGTAGAGGATTGATGGAGTAACAATGCTAACATGAATAATTTAGTAGCAAAGCATAAAGACTAAATTTGGTGTGAATAATTTTTATATCTAATATCTTACCTATGTTCATCTTTTAAAGAACTTTCTCAGTTTGACATACTTTGCCAAAATACCTAAAAATTATTCTCTAGTTTTTTTGCTTTTAGCAAAATTTATTGAGGCTCAGAATTGAAAAATTTCTATACATGTTCCTTAAAGTCATAGCTATAAAATAAAATTTATTGGAAGTTTATAGCTTAACTAGAAGTCATGTAATAACTATTTACCAATATAATCATATTGGGATAGAGTTGCTATGGGTATAATGGTTAAAATATTCTATTCCACACCATATAAAGAGACCCTTTTGTCTAAAATGGAACAGTAATAATTGTTTGTGTATATAATTGCAAATGGGGAAAATAATTGAAAAATACAATGTGCCTAACATAGGCACATTGAAAATGTACAATTTTTTACATTCCGTGTATTATTTAGTTTAAACTAAAAGTGATAAATAGTGAAAATTGCAATATTTTGTTCAATTAAACAATAATTATGCTCAATTTTATTTTAACCACTTTACCCTAGGTATGGGTTAAAATGGCTCACTTTTTTTATTTTGTAGATGAGGGATTTAAGTGCTTATAAATATATAATTTGATCTATTTTGTTAATTTAGATCAGGGGCAAAGGCTAAAATAAACAAATAATTTAAGAATTCTGTAAATTTTACTTAATCCCCTAAAGTTGAAAGTGGTACAATAACTTTATAAAAATTACTGAAAATTTAACCAACACATCCAGCATACCCCCTTCCCCTTTCCCCCACTTCCATGAAGCCACTGACAAATTTACCTTTTGAGTATTAAAAAATAAACTCATATATTATAATGATTTTTATAAAAAAATATATTATTTGACAATAAAATTAAATGAAATCATCTCATAATTTTGATAAATACAATATAATACAAACTTGAATATAATCTCCATCAAGAGAATAAATTCCACTGTCATTAAAACAATTGTCACCTGTGAACATAAAAATGTATGGAAATTAAATTTTTTCACTTGCTGCCATTATTGTGTCATCCTTTATTCCCACTTTAGCTCTACATGCTTTAACAATTATTTTTTGTCTAAGTAAATTAATTTCTGATTCAAGTTGCTTCCACAATTTGTCTCTCTCAAAAAAATCCATATTTTGTCTTAAAATTTGTATTTGTTGAACTCTATACACAAAAAATTTCCAAAATTATTAAATTAATTAAACAATATTGTATAAATATTAAAATGACTTACCTACCTGAGAGTTCTTTACATAAATATTTTGTAGCTATTTTAGCATCATATAATTCTTCTATAATATTTAGATTTTGTTTTTTCATTTGATCAAGGTCAAATTTTAATAAAATGTTTTCTGATTTAATTATTGCATACTCTTTGATAGGATCAAGATTAGTTTTCTGAAGCTATTTAATTTAAGTATATTTTAGAAATTCTAAACAATTTACTAATTTTTGTTTAATATTTCCTACATCAATGCCAATATTTTGTTTGTCACAGATATCTAATTGAATTTGATGTGTTTCTTTTACTATTACATCCAGCTCATTTTCAAGCCTTATATTGGAAGCATTTAAATTTATTAAATTTTCTTTAATTCTTAATATTTCGTTCTATAAATTGGAATAATACAATGATAATAAAATATTAGAATCACATTTAGCAAATTATTATTTTGTGATATAAAACTGATTTTGTGCAAAACTTGTGCAAAAACAAGCCCCAATCCCCGAAGCTTAATTCTTCCCTCAATACTTTTATCAACATTCCCCTGTTCAATATCCTCAAAAATATTGTATAAATCAACATAATTTTTATCAAATTCTTTTTCCAACTCAATCATTTGGATTGCAAATATAATTACGACGACAGATGAATAATTTTGTTTGACAAGTGTTAAATTAGTTAGAATGTTAGAGATATTAATTTTTGAAATATATTTAATATTGTTTATGATCATGATGGTACCTCTAACATGTGAAAATTGAGTACAAATAAAGTATTCAATCAAAATCGGTGGGGAAGGGGGTGTCAATCCCTCGGAGGGGGAGGGGTCTCTAGAGGGGACTGTGTATTTGTAAATAAAAATGTCATTTTAAAATTATTTTTCAAAGGTCTGAATTTTGAAGTTAGAAAAAAATTAATCATTTGTTATTCTCTAAATCATGGATAAATGTTATCTAAAATATGTTGAATCAAAGGGAATTTGAACCAGCCCTGTACAGCACATGGTTTGTAGATATATAAATATTTTGGTTTTAAAAATTTAAAGTTTTAATTGTTTTTGCAATTTTTTAGTTTAATATTTTAAGTCTTTTAAATTTTTAGTTTTTATTTATATAATATTTTAAGTCTTTTAAATTTTTAGTTTTTATTTATATAATACAATTAGTGTTGTTAATGTAATTAGTTACATTTTTAAGGAAGATAATAAATATAATTAATTATGTTTAAATATAATATTTTCATACCTTAAATAAAGAATGATAATTGATTTTTTTTTAATTGCTCTATTTTTTATAATTAATTAAAATAAATTTTGTTTGCAATTCTTTTCAGGCAATCATATTCCAAATCAAAATTTTCTAATAGATTCAACGACGCTTAAAGTCAGTCTAGCTGAGAATACAGAAAGCAAGGACAACTTTCTACAAATTTTTCAAGCTCTGGAAGACCAGGGAGATTTCGGTTTGTACAAGATTACGGATATTTAATTCCACGGTAATCCCCATTTTGTTATACGGGTGTGAGACCTGGGAAATCAGTAAAGCTGACAACAGGAAATATCAAGTATTCATCGACAAATGCTAAAGAATTATAAATGGCATATTTTACCCTAGGTTGATATCGAATGATAAATTGTGGAAAATGTCAAGACATATCCCCATTCGTATTCTGCTCAAGAAAAAACGTATTCAATTTTTAGCTCATATACTGAGACATCCAAACTCAAACCTAGCCCATGATGCTCTAACATGGCTTTTCACCTGCAAAGGCAAATCATATAGCAGATATAAGGCACTCTGGTTCAACCGTGTTCTAAAAGATGTGGTAGACCTTAACTTAAACTGGAAACAATTTACCAAACTAAACAATAATAAAAAATCCATAGATAAGCTTCTCAAGATTAAGTTCAACTATCTGAAATAACACCCCTATCTCTTGTAACTCCACCTCCTCCCCAAACCCTTACATTCCCAAAATACAGGTTTCATTTCTTATTTATTTATCATATTTTTCTTTTAGATTCTTAAAATTTTATTTCTAGAGAGCCTTCCCCGTCCAGTTTACTTTTAAATACAATAGGGCCTTAGGTTTTAGGTGTGGGCTGTTCTATTGGTCCTCCCTTATCTGTTCCAGCCCACAGATGTTTAAATAATAGTTCACGAATTATTATGCGTACAAGTACGTGCGGCTTGCCCACAAACGTGTGAAGGGCTCCTCATATTTTACTTTACACTTAACTTAAATCTTCCAATTAGATGGAAATGAGGAAAACCTAGCGTAGCTCTGTTGTAACTACAACGTAGAGAGGGCGTATGCGCTTTATTCCGTATTCCGTAAATTTTCTAATAGGAATATAATCTAAAATTTAATAAGCAGCTTTGAGTTTAATTTAGATAATTAAAAAAACATTTTCACGTTTTACTTGAGTTTACGAAAGTTTTGGTATTAGATGATTTAACCCATACAATTTAAAAAATAATTAAAATATTTTGTTTTATATATTATATTTTAAATACCCTTTTCAAAATCTTTTATCATAAAATATAATATTTTATGAAAATGAAATATTTGATTTAATCATAAATTGAAACCTGAAACCCTCGGAACAGGACGAATAGAGGAATCTAAAACACTTTTTTAAAATTATAGGGGCTAAAACCAATTTTTAAATTTTTGAAACATGTTAACCGGTGTGAACACAAATGCAGTTAATTTATATGCTGTTTGAAATGTTGTGTAATTAATTTTAGCAAATTTATTTAATTTTTAAAACGTTTGTAAATTTTATTAATTGTATTAGCATAATTTTGGACCCTTAATCAGAACCTGGAATACTCGGAACCGTGTCAAATTAAAGAACCAGAACCTATTTTTTTAAATTTTAATAACCAGAACTAGCTTAACATTGTAAAATGACTGCTGTTGATGGGCGAGTGGGCCAGCCGGCCTGGGCCGCCAAAATTTGGTGAATGATTATATGGAAAGAAAGTCTATTTTTTAATATTTTTTAAAAATTATCCTTAACATCTAAAATAGTCAACGGGAAAATGGCTATATTTGATAGAAACCCAGATTAAAGATCTAGTCGAAAAATTTTCACAAACTTATACAAATTATGGGTTTAAAGGGCTTACAAATTAGTTTTTATGTCTTGGGTTGCCAAAGGTCTCGGTAGGGCCCTGTAGCCAAAGTTGGCATTCGCAAATTATCAGTTTATTTTCGTAAAATTAGGGGGGAAAATCAAAATTGCCATCACATCATATCAGAACTAAAAATATCAAAATATCTGGTTTACGTTATATTTAGTGCTTTACTCACATAATCAGTGGCGTCACTAGGGGAGGGGCGCAATAAAAAATTTGAATAGCCCCCTGAAGCAAAAAATTTTTTTAATGGCTCCTTAATATCCCCTTGAACTAAAATAAATTTTTGATTGCCATCTGAACGATTTCTTTTATAATTCTATTAAGTAATATATAGATTTAATTTTATTTAAAAACTTAAATTATATTTTAATTATGACAGCTTGCAATCAAATTCTGTGTTAAAAATATAATATCAATATCACTCACTAAATATTTAGCATTAACAGCTGAAGCTTGACTTTTATTATTTAAATTATTATATAAACCTAATTAAATAAATATAATCATTTATTAATTGAAAATTAACAAATTTAATATTGTAATTAGCCGAGTTCAAAATCATTAATCAATTATATTATTCATTTTTTAATTTAATTACCATGCCTCTTCCTAAAAATATTTTCAAGGTCCAAAAAGTCGACATATAGTTTATAATCCTCTATTATATATAATTGGTTATAAAATATTAGGTAAAATGCCACTTTTATAGACGTATTTACAGTTATATAATATATTACAGCTAATATTTTTATAAATTTTACTAATAAATGCTTTTGATAATAAATATAAGTAAGAATTTGCATACAATTCTTTAACGCATCTATTTATTTAAAATATTATTAAAAAATAAACAACTTATTATTCATCCCACAAAGGATGTAAATTAGATATCTTTTCTTCTCTTTTTTTACACATTTTTAGGAAAGCTATTTTTTTCTTCTTTTGAAAAACAGTTTTGAGTAATATTTTAATACAAGTATATTTTTGATATTATTACAAACTTCTATTATTTTAAGATATAATATACCAACTAGAGGTGGTGCGACATATAAAAATTTTTAAATTTCTTTCATCACATCACTCTGGTCCTTATTTTCTAGTTATCAAATAATTCATTTCTGACATGACATCTCCACTGTGTAAATAACTCATGGCTTCAATATATTTGCGAAATTATTTCTTCTAAAGATTTTTATTGTTTTTGTTTTATCAATTTATCTAACATAATATATTCATATGAGTTAACATCGTGAGTGTCATCGCTATGACTGCAAATTAACTAGCATCTATTATTTGTGTGGCTATGCAATTTACGATTATTACTTTTGCTACCGAGAGCATTTGATTGCATAATTAATTGAGAAATAACTGTCTAGTAGTTTATATATCACAAATGGAAGATAATCTTTTAGAAATTTAATAACTCACAATAATTTTCTCGATTTATCTAGCTTCCATCATGTTATCTAAGAGAAAGCTCTAACCACCATATAGTTTTATGATTTGTAATGGTCGTTTATATTTTCTTCTTCAAGAATTGTTGATTTGGTTAGGCCTCTTATTAGTACATTCTATAAAACATTGTCCATAATGGTAACAGAGAGTTATATTAATTTCATGACCTTTTGTCAATGTAAGTTGTTAAGAATTATATTGCCTTATGTGGTCTTTAAAAACCATTATCAATTGAGGCATATGTATGAATTAATTAACCTTTTTTATTACTTGTAATTCCTTAGACACAAAATTATTTATATCAACAATCGTAAATATTTTATACTGTAATACATAAATTTTGTATTAAAAAAAATTATTTTTAGAAATGTCTTGTATTGTTTTAATTATTTATATGTTAGTTTATTTTGTATGCGTAATATAATAAATGACAAAATATGAAATTCAATATACCAAATTTTAAAAATAAAATATATTAATATAAAATCCGGCCGAAGCCCCGGAAATTAGGGGGAGGGGGGGGGGTATGGAAGGGGAAGCTCCCAATAAATATTTTTTTAGTTGAGCCCCCTAAGATTGTAAAGGCTAGCGACGCCCCTGCACATATTAATTAATGTAACCGAATTATAAATCAAATAAAAATTATAATATCAAACCTTAAATTGAAGTCAGCAAAAGATAGTGTTTTATTATTTGATTTTTAATAATTCTGATATAATTCTATTCATACCTGATTATTTTATCAGACGCCGATTGCAATATATTTTTGAAATTACGCTATTATCTATGTTGATTTTATTAAAATATGAACCTCGGGGTTATATTCGGAGACAACATTGAGAATATTTTTTAAGTTTCTAATCAGATAATATTTGATCATATAATTTCTCAACTACCCATTTGTATGTAACTTGTTGGTTTATAAAGCTTATATTGGGAAATTCACGAATTGAATATTTTATTTTAGTATTCCCAGTTTCTAAAGCAGTTTTAAGCTGCGTGAATTTGTCTTCGTGTTATAATGAATTATTTTTGTAAGAAAGCTCAAGTAGAATATTATGATATATTATTATGCTATTGCTTAAAACCTATATGAATTTATAGTTATCGTTCAATAAAGTTACAATTAGACTCACAAGATTCATTAAATTTTGATAAGTTTATACTAGAAAAAGAGAAATCAATTAAACTTGTTACGATACTTCTAAAACTTATGGAAGCCGATCGATAGTAATAAATAAATGATACTTACTTAAGGTCTAGTCTTTTTTAATTATTTTTTCGAATCGGATCTTATTTTATTGGGTATGACCTATAAATAATAGTTTGATTTGAATTTAACTCAAATCATTGAAAAAATAAAAAATATTGATGTAGGGCTCTAGTTAGAGCAATCCTTATTTTATAAGTAAAATTAGCTATGGGCAGTGGTGCGACTAATGCTTAGCGTTACCTTGCATAACTTAATTTATCATTTTGAAACAAAGAGTTATGTAACCTACACATTTTTATGGTTAAATCAACATTTCTTTTCATTAATTTATAAGTTTTCGCATTTAAAAAAAATCTTTTTATTAAAACGACTAAAATTTAAAAGGAAAGCTACCAGATGACTTTTGAAGTCATAAGATCAAGTTGGCATTTTACCATACACAGCGTCTACATGAGAGGATATTCACTGGATGCAAATCTCCCTCAAAAATCTATACCTACCCCCTAAAAAAAATTTAACACCTTTGGTGGCTATAATTACAACTTTTTAATTATAATTATTCCCTTCATAAATTTTAAAAAGAATAGCTTAAATTATTAATGCTCTACTACCAACTATCAAAATATTGTGAAAGAGTAATTTTTTAGAGCTTGAATTATTAAAAACCCACATTTACAATGAGTGCATTATATTTATTACATTTAAAAGGATAGCAGGAAATTATCCAGAAATAGAAGATTAATATATAGATTTGGTCGATGTTTAGAAAAATCATTGTATTTTAATAAGTCTATAATAAATAATATTAATTTTTACAGCAATACATTTTGCCCTATTTTATCAAAAAATTTGATAGATAACCCCCCTCCCCTCCCAATAAATTTATCTTACCCCTAATCTACCTTCCCACTAAATGCCTACCCTCCTTAAAGATACTGCCACCCTTCCACCCCCCCCCCCCCCATTCTCCCCACCGCTCACGTAAACCGTGACCCCATACTTATCAAAAATATACCAAATTTTGCCTGAATATTGTTTAAACGAAATTATTAAGCTACAAATGATATTGGATCAAAATAATAAATAGTTTTAATGTTATTATAGTTTTAATGAGTGTTTAATCATAAAAAACCACTAGTTATCAAATTGTTAATATGATCTTATATGTGGAATATATTATGTGAGCAATTTCCATAAGTATACATTATAATAGATATGCAATTAATATGATTTTAAATGTACAATTCTAATATAAAATAAGTCACTATACTATCGTATTAGTTTTTTCCTGGGAAAAAATATAATAGCTGCAAAATAAGGTTATAACTCATCGTTTTTTTAAACATGTTTTTAAAAAAATATAAGAAATTAAAAATATACTATGAAAAATAAGTTCTTAAAGGTGACTTCGAGGTATGGGATTAAACTTCCCTATAAAAATGAGGTAGCTAGAAAAAATTTACTGAAGAGGCCGCAGTAACACGAATCCACCTCAATTGTTAATTTTAAAATTTATTAAACACGTTTTTATATTTTTTTTAAAATTTATTTTTGTAACTATAAACAAAGTTGGGCAAATTTTCAAAAAAAATGTATTCTAATATAATTACAAATACACTAAAAAAAGTATTTGAAATATTAATACTAAATACCTTCAAAAAAACTTGACAAATATAAATACTTTGACGAATACGATTTTTATAATACCGCTATGAATTTCTTTACTTAAATAATATTTTTATTATTGAATTATCCATTTTCTGAAATTCTAATAATTATATAAATATCATCATATAGAAAATGTTCCAATTATATTTTATCTCCAGTAATGCCAAACATTATATATATTTATTTTGCAGCAGTAGCATATCACATAAATTATATAATAATTGCAAATATAGATAATATAATTATTTTACAGAGAATGCAATAAATTGTTAGATGATGAAATCTCTCTATTTATGATTTTGGTTTTATTTTCAGGATATTACATTTAGCTTTCACTACATAATTGATTTTTAATGATATTTTGAAAAAGTTTCCATCCAAATCGGTGAAATTACAATCAGAGGATGTTGAATTTGGCTGTGGATCCCTGTTATCTTATAAAACATAATAGCTTAATTAGAAACACATTTTCTTTAATTATTGCATCTTCAAAAAACTTGTATCACTATCAATAATAAACTCATTTTAAAAATAAAATGGGATTTAAAATAGAACAACTTAATTTTTTTGATAACTTAGGTCACAAATTTAATATTTAAATAAATAAACATCGATTTGCATTTTATAATTCAATTTTAAAAAATAGAAATATCGTGAAATTGTAATAAATACAAAATAATTTTTATTTATTAGTATTTAAAATACAAATACTGCCCAACCCTGTAAACATTCCATTTTAAATATTAATAATAAAATGCTCACATAAAATGTTAATTTTATATTTATGGGGAATTTTTTTTTTGAAACTATTATATTTTGATGTATTAGCAAAAATATCCCTACCCCCCCCCTACCCTTCCCCCCTTCCCCCCCCCCCCCCATCTCCTAAAATATTTTAATATATTCAATTTTTAACCAAACTATATAATCTCATATGCGCTGACATAATTATCTAAAATAATGATAACAAATAAAATAGGCTCTTTTATTATAAAAATATTTGACACACTATTGACCGCATAATTTAAAAATTAATATTATCATTTCTATTTATTAGATAAATTCACCCCAAGGTTATTTAAATTATATTTTAATAGTTTTTTATAATGTTTTAAAAAAAGTTTTCAAAAATCCTAATTAATGAAAAATAAATCTAAATAATTTTCCCCTCTATTATTTTACAGAAAATATATTATTTACTATCTCATGGAAAGAAACTTCTTCCAATTATCGATTCTATTATGACTCGTACTAAATTAGCTAAAAATATATTGATTGTCACTCAATTTATCATAAACATAGGTAAAAAAATTTCAACATATTTTAAATTTTATAATAATATCTATAAGTCATTGACATGCGGTTTATGCATGCCAGCCTATATATGATAACTAAATATAATTTGGCATAAATACGAACGAGAAAACAAAGTAAGAGGGAAATGATTTTTTTATAAAAGGATTAAGGTGATGATGAATGATAAATTGTCAACCCACATTATAAAAGATTAGATTTTAAAATGATTATTGTAATATCAAACATATCCATATTTTGTACAATAACTTTAAACCATTAAACCAATGTACATATTTGAACTCCAATTTGATATATTTTTTCATAAAAAAATTCGAAATAATAAAGATTATAATTTAATCAATATTTAGGATAAGAATTCTTGGATATATTTCTTCTATTTAAAATAGAGATTTGTTAAAACTTACCGAAGAATCGATTATAAATATATTTAAATTTAAAAAATTGACAATTTGGCAATAATGGCAACGGTTAAAGTAACATTATGCTATGCTAGTCTAATTATTTTATTTTTAAATTACATATCGATATGAAGATTTTAAAAATATGAATGGAAATAATCTTTTCCTGGCAAAAAAAGTCTAAATAAGTTGGGCATCTTCTGAAAATTACCTATCTTTATCTGCAGGCGCGTACGCAGCTGGGAGGGGGACAAATCCCCCCCCCCCCCCAAAGCCAAAAAATGCAGATGCCGGATTATATTTTTCAAAAATATTATTGTTAATATTAATTTATATTTGTTAATATTTATTCTTATCTCATATATACATATATATATATATATATATTATATTTATTTATCACATTCATCTACTAAGTTATTTTATCAATCAATTTCGATTTCAAGTTTTCCTTGGCGTAATTTACCTATTATTTTCAAATTTTAGTGGCGTAATATTTATCTAAATTTCTAATAAAATAATAATTATCTCTGAAACTCCTTGTCCAACAGGGAGAAAAAAATTGCAAGCTTGTCCAACGAGATCGAGTCTCCGCCACAGTAACAGCTATTTTGGAGTTAGAAGAGCTGATTATTAATGCTATTACTGAAATATCACAATGGCTTGAAAGAAATATTTCCTCAGAAGCAAGAAAATTATTGGATTCAATACTTATTCCAAATTTTTTTTCTCATTAGAATGTATTATTTAATTATACAACTATTTTATGTAATACTTTTCAAAAACATAACATTGACTTGATTAAGAAGATGAGAATAGCGGAGAGCATTTTATTAGAACTCAAGGAAATAGAGCTAGTGTTGTTGAAGAATTTCATATTTTATATGTTATTGTTGAGTCAAAAGCAGAGCTATACGTGTTAAATATTTGTCCCCCTCGACTTGCAGCAAGCAAGCTCATCATCAAAACATTAATATAGGATCAGTAGAAGAGTATTATAAAACAAATGTCCCCTCTCCCAACCTTTTTCATATGGTGATAGAAAAAAATATAAATATTTGTTATATTTTTATCATGAAGATGTTAAAATATCTTATGATGCCTTATTAGCTGAATAACTATGATTAAAAGATTAACTATGGTTGATACAGTCCCAAAAAATGCTATGGATGCTTTTTATTTCAAACACATTTTAGATTATACTCCCAATTATTAAAATGGTTATATATATATTAGCAGCTCTTTAGTAAACTAATGAGAGAACATTCACTTTTTTAAGAAGAATAACAGAGCCTTGCAGAGGTACCATTTGCAGGACCAGGCCCAGATTTTATTTTAAAATTTTTTCCGGCCCGGGTTTTTTTTAAAAAAATTTTCAGGCCCGGCCCGGCTGGCTTAGCCCGAATTTTTTAAAATAAATTATATTTATTTTTGATATTTATAGCTAATAATGGCGATTTCAAATATTTGGTTTTAAAATATACAACTCGGCTCGGATATTTTTTCTTAAAAAATTTTCAGGCCCAGCCCGGGTGTTTTTTAAAAAAAAATTACGAGCCCGGCCCGGGTATATTTAAAAAAATTAAAATACGGTCCGGCTCAGGGGCCGGGCCTGCAAGTCTGTGAAAAACATACCTATGAAATACAACATCTGAAAGTAGATTGAATGATTTGGATCTTTTGAATATTCATAGACATTTAACGCCAAGCAAGGATTGATAATTGAAAAATTAGCTCAAAACATACAAAATACAATTATTCCTAAGAAACTTTTTGTGTATTAATTTATATTTACAACATTTAAATTTTTTATACTTTATATATTTTAAAAGCTCAAAAAATTCAAATTTCAATTTTGGGTCATTTAGGTGATTCATATCGTGGGTTATATTCACTTTATATTTTATGATTCACATTTAAATGCCGGTTTATATATATAATTTTTTTAATTCACATTAGTTTAAAATTGTGTATTAGAAAAGTTATTAATCCTAATAAATTTATGCTTAGTATTTTTAATTAAAAATATTATTTCTTAAAAAAATTTATTATCCCCCCCCCCCCCCAGACCAAATTCCTGCGTACGCGCCTGTTTATCTGTCAAATGATTAGAAGTGAAATTGTTAACATTTATAAAAACTGCTTTTTGGTGAGGCATATTCCAGCAACACATTATTCATTATTTTTATATTACAAAAACAAATAACAATTTAAATAGTAATAAATCAAGAATATTGTTCGAGTTTCACCGATATCAACAAGAAATTTGTTAATGGGTTTGCGTGCCCACGGTATGTAGACAAAAAGAACGAAATATATTGTTGTGGCCAGTACAATAACAAGTATTGTTGTAATGCTGTAGGAAAATACACCCAAGAGGAAAAATTGTAAGTTAAAAAAAAATAATATTTTGATATATACTTTTAAAGATTGTTTCAAAGTAAGAGCTAAATGTATGCTAATATATTTTAGCATACAATTAGAGTTTGTATATATTAGATAATTTTAAATAGTCAAAATTCGCATCTCATTAAATTTTTAGCTCAAAAATATTATAGGATGTGTGCCAAATGAATAATGTAATATTTATAAAAAATAAGTAGTCTTGTTAAGAAGACTTAAAGAGATCCTAAAGGTAAACTTAGTGTTGTCAAACGGCCCGATTTAAGTCGATTTTTAACGGCCCGATTAAGATGTTAGCCAAAATAATATTATGTAAGCCTCGAGATTTGGCAAATGGAGGTCCTAATTTTTCTACCATCAATGAGCAAAATTTTCATACATAATATTTTGGCTAAAATGGTAATCAGCCCATATTTAAAAATCGGACCTATTAACAACATTCAAGCTCCTTCCCATTTTTTAAAATGTCTGTTCAGAAAATTTTAAAATGTATATTCTTTAAAAACTATTTTTGTGTGAATTCCCTTTTTAAGAAAATGAATTCTCTCATTTTAAAAAGTTTAACAACGCCATTATTAAAATCAAAATAATTAATTAGTTTTCTTTCTAATTTAAAATATGTATGATTCGTTAATAATGGACTAATCATGCGCTAAAAAACTACCAAAATTCTCATTCACATGTCTAATTGATAATTTATAATTAAATTCTAGATGTGCTGCAAAAAAGGAATTAGTAGTTTTATATTTAACACAATAATGGTGTAGTTCATATCTTCTGTATTTATAAAATGAATATTGTAGTATCCTTACTCTATATAAATTGAGATGTTATTCATTTAGAAGTAGGACATTCCTTTTACACGTGAATTCTTTTTAACTCACTATTGTCATTTGGAACCTCTATCTTTGCCTTAAAATCATCATTCCATTAGCCAGAATTTTGCGATGGAAGGAAAGCACTTTAGGTGAGTTTTCTCAGTAAGTTTATTGGGGGTCGTCTTTGTCCACTTATTGCAGGCCTTCGGTTATGTTATTGGGTTTTGACTTTTTTTATAAAAAAAATGCTGTTCTTTTGAAAATTTTGAATTATGCTCATTATTTTAAATACTTATTAACTTTCACTTATTTTTTTCAAATTAATGTTTATAGTGAAAGTGATATATTGTATTTATTTTTGGAGGGGAGCGGGGGGGGGGTAATAATTATTAGCTTAAAATGATATTTATGAGCAAGCTAATTTCCGAAGGAGGTACTCTTCCATCTACCACTAACTACTTTTTCCTTACATAAATCTTTGGGATGTGTTTAAACTACCTTAACCGCGCCTCTCTAAGATTCTATCTTAAATGTTCCCAAACCAGTATACCTTTATAGATTTTATTACTACTAATTGATCTTTTTTTGATTTCCCCAACATTATATATCAATGGGATAGATGCCATAGAGACAAAATTGATAAAAGATATTTAGGAATATGATCAAGAATCAAAAAAATATATTATGAAGATGCTTTTTGTATGAGGTACATTGAATAAAGATAGCATTGCATGTTATCAGTTTTAAAATGTTTGAAATAATTAAAGAGCAGGAAGTGGTAGACGCCCTTATAAAAATAAAGCGATATCGCCAAATTCCAATAAAGAGAAGAAATAGAGAGTGTGCACTATTTTGGAGCACCTGCTATAGAATTAAATTGATGAGACCTGGAAGTTTTTATCGAAAAAACTTTAAGCCGAATATGATCAATAAAAAGAGCCTATTTGATTTAATGCGTGTTAGATCAATCTAATCTATAAATTCGGTAGTAAAAGTAGAGAGAGAAATATAAAGACTACATCTGTGTAATGACTCCCTTTGGGAAGTAAATGCAGAATAAAATAGCATAGTCCTACTCATTCGTAGTAAGGAAGCAATGGGTACTTAATTGGGTTCATGAAGAGATGATATGCAGACTATAAAGAAAAAGAAAGGGAAAAATATGGGAGGGCGATAGATGTCAAGTGTCAGTAGAATGCAAAAACAGATGAACCAATAACACTTTTTTGCCAATACTGATACCACCAATACTTATATAAAATATAAATGAAAAACATACACAACTTAATCATATTTAATAAATAAATCTTTTTAAATAATCCTGGCTCCAGAGTTCTTTTCTATGTAGAAAAAGGCGGATTAAATTTTACCACCCATTCTCCTCTCTTTTTTTACAGGTTATAGTCAGTTCAAGTTTGTTACCTACCATACACGACCCTGATCTACAAGATGCTCTCCAGACTTGAGTGAGCATTTGCCAGCATGCCATTGGCAGACCCATACCCACATTTCAAAAGGTTTGGAATATTTTCCTAGTATCTTACTTCTTTAATTACCTCTTACCGAGTGATTTATTAGAACAATGTCTCTGCTAAGTATATTGAATTGGCTACTATTCTTCTTCTTACTATGCAAAATAACATTCTTTTACTTTATCTTGGGTGTGATATGTCGCTTTCTTCAAAATGTATTAATTTCTTACCTTCAGATTCTAAAGAATATAATTATTTATATTATAAATATTACATAGACCACTTTCAATGCACACAAAAGTCATTAAACGGATCTCAAAAAACTTAAAAGATTAATATTCCCGATATTTTTAAGCTAAATTATTTATTTCCAAGCAACAACAGAAGGCCGGATTATTATCAGCCAATACCTTGTGTTTTTGGCCTTCCAGTTGCTTAAAATTATATATGCGTTGATTTATCAGCGTGATCCAACAGAAATTCTTTCGAGATTGGATTAGTCTAACTCTTGTAAGTAAATAACATTGATAATGTATTATTTATACTATTTGTTAACAATACTTTGTGTTTTTGATTAAGAATTTCTAAAATTAATCACATTATTAAAATTAAGTAAAATAAGTGGAGATCATAATGAAGCATTCTACTAAAGCAATCCATTATTATGGCTTTTCACAAAACCAACTTCTTTGCTATCTATGACTCCATTTAACAATACCCATCATCTCACTTTTTTTAATTTTTTTTTTCCGGTCATGGGTTACTTTATTTGAATATTTACTGATATGATATGATGTCAAAATATATTAGCAAATAATTAATTTTTTAAAAAGGTAAAATAAATAAAGGTGAAAAATTGTAGAAATAGAATTTACGGGAAAGGATAGGGGATAAAAAAAGGAAGCTTGGAAAATGGAAGGTTATTCAATGGAAGAGATGAAGCTTAGATAGTTAGAACGAATGATGGCGGTAGCAAGTCTTTGGCGTAAAAAGAGGGATTCCTTAGGCTGGTCAGTTTTTTCGCGTATCCGTTTGCCTAAATCTTTGAAAAAACGTTGAGCTTTGCTACCGAAGGTGGTGAGAATGGTGCAGGCGATGGGTATGAATAAGAAAGAAGGATCTAAGGAACTGTACTTTATGGTTTTGCGGGATTCAGCGAGGGTGAGGGCATCGACATTATGGTTAGAAGGTGCATTTGGGTCAATGCAGGTGAAGTCCCAAACCAGGAGCTGACCCCTTGACCAGGGGATCAAGGACATTCCATCAGGGCGTTTCCCATCGGTTCTGAATATTCCGGTTGGTTCTAGTCTAGATGGAATGCCTCCTGATTTGAGGGCGCGTAAAATGATGTCATTGCATTTGATGTGCCGTGAAAAGCGGCCACGACAAAAGCGACAATGGAGGCAGTGCCTACCCTTGCTGTCGACGCTGGTTTCGCAATGTTTGCATTGGTACGGAAGAACAATTTCGCAATTGAGCCGTAGTCCAATAGCAAATCTTAGCTCGTCAGCAGTGAGCAACAAATCGAGGTTGTTGGGGTATAGTTTCCAGAAACTCGTAACCAGATCCTTGGTTCAATTGGTGAAAAACTGTGAGATCGTCGTCGTGAAGGCTCGATTTTAGGTAAGCGACGGAGCCTTCGTTGAGTGGAATATCCCAGTCTCTCTGTGAACATGAGGAGGGTCGTGCGTTGTCCCAAATGGTCTGGGCTTCAGCTAATAAGGGGTCAGGGAAGTTGGAAAGCTGGCTAATGTGTGAATCGGATGAAAGACGAGAGGCAATGAAACCACTGATGGAAAGAGTTAGAGGTGAGCGTAAGCCGTTACCCCCGAGCTTGCATGGAAGTGATGCTTGTAACCATGAATTATGGTTAAAGCGGAGATTAAGGATCTCTTCGGCGAGAGATTTGACGGAGATTTCAAAAGATTTTAATGAGTCGGGGAATTTGAAAATTGAGGTGGATCGAAGGGCGTAAAGAATTTTAGGAATGTAATAGAAGTTTTTGAGGAGAAAAAAAGCTTGATGTGGAGGGAGAAACTTAGAGATGTTTTTGAAATGAAGTAAGCTGGATGATGCGTTAGTGAAAAAGTGATTGATGGATTCCAGGCCACCGACTGGAGAGCCGAGATGACTGAGGGATGAGAGTTCGGTTGTGTGAAAGTTGTGGTTGAATGGGATGGAGCAATGAAATGGACAGATCTCAGTTTTTTGTTCGTTGAGTGAGAGACCGATAGCATAGGAATGTGTTTTGATGATGGTGAGTGCCTTAGCAACCTCGTTAGGGGGACCGCAGAGTATTCCGTCATCAATGTACCAAGTATGCAGTGGGAGATTGCAGTTGGAAGAAATGTTTTTGACCATTTCGTTGATTTCAATGCAGAAAAGTATCGATCCCAAAGGATCGCCTTGTTGGATCCCTCCAAATGATGAAAGTAAATAGTTGTTGAATTGGAGATGAGATGGCTTGGAGTAGCAAGAATTGAAGAATTGGGAAAAGGTGGGGAATGAGTGGTACATTTGTGGGGGAAAGTGAGAGCGGCGAATGGAGTTGAAGGCGTTAGAGAAATCAATTTTAACGAGGATTTCGTTATTTGGGTTGGTTTGGAGATGGATACGTAGCGTGTGTGGCTATTTCGCAGCCTCCTTGGATGCCGATTCCAAGTTGATGAGGTGCTAGAATTAAGGCTGCGTTGTCCTTAATTTTGGAAGATATTAGCTTAGCGACAAGACGGCGAAATACGGTTCCGATTGCAATTGGGCGGATATCCTTATTAGGTTTTTCGAGTGTGATTAGTTTAGCACCGAATAAGAGTGGTCTGATGGACTCGGGAACGAGGCCTTGTGCTATTTTGTTACAAAATGTTGTTAAATTTTGTAAAATTAGGACCTGGCTGACTATGAGGGGGGATGTGAGATCCTGGAGGAAGATGGGACGAAGCCCATCGTAACCGGGAGAAGAGTCGTGATGGAAGGATAGAATAGATTTACGCACCTCGGCGGGGGTAAAATTAGAAGGGAAAATATTGGGAGGAGGTGGAGGTATGAAATCAACTAAGGAGGGGTGCTTTAGTTTGAGTTTGTGGAAACTTTCCTCGTTACTAGTGGCAAATGAATCATCAGAAGCTACTAAGCGAAGAGCGGATTTGATGTTTAGGTTGTTAATTTTGTTGGAAATTACTTTGCCTTTAATTGTAGGCTGGAAAGTTTTTTGGGTACATGAAAAGATGTTGTGGTTGTGAGGGTGAGGGGATGTAAGGTTGCATCTTTAATTTGTTGGGTTAGAGATTTCTGAATCTCTGGATTGGGAGGTTGGAGAGTCGTGAAGGAAAATGTGAAGAGTTTGAGCCAATGATCGAGGGAGGAGAAGTTATTTAATAATGATTGAAGGCATGTGGAGAGGGCTTTGGCTACTTGTACTCTGGAGCCTTTAGGAATTCTAGAGATAATGGGAGGTTTGTCGGATTTTAGGAAGTTGATGATGTCGCCATGGGTGGTTGGTTGGAGGGGAATAAATGTGTTTGATGTGGTTGGTATGTGGACGTTGTTGGATGAGGTGGAAGAGTGGCTGTGAGTAGAAAAGATGGAAAGGGGATTTAGAAAGGGAGGAGAAGGACGCTTCCCGGACTCAGGACAAACGATGCCATTGGTTTTGTGTTTGGTGAAGAGGCCAGGTTTGGTGATTTTTATGTTTTTAGAGCATGCGGGACAGTGTACCATTATATGGATAAAGAAAGGTTGTGAATAATTGTGTAGAGAATGGGGATGTGACAGAGAGTAAGAAGAAATAATCTGCAGAGAATAATGATGTTGTAAAGATAAGGTTATTAAATATGAGAGGAAAGAATGGGCATAAAGGTTGTTGGGGTTGGTTGGTGTTTGATAGAGGTTGGTTATTTTTTTTAATAAATGTGATGGTTAAAGTAAATAAAAGATTGAAATGAAAGACTGAGGAATATATATAAAAGGGGGGAAAAAAGAAAATTATTTTGGGTATGTTTATGAAAGGGAAAAGAAAATTATATTGTATTAATGGGGATATTACAAGGAATGTAAGAAAATTTGAGTCTTGAAGAATATATATATATATATATATAAGAAAAAAAAAAAAATTTTTGGTTCAAATGTGAGGAATAAATGTGTACAAAGAAAAAAATATGCATATTGTTTTTTAAATTTTCTTTATACACAAATTTTTAATATTCTTATAATAGTGATTTGTTTTAATATATCTTTGTTATAAATCTAAGATATACAATTATATACAAATAAAAAGAGTGCACCACTTATGTTATATGTACATGCGCGTAGCCAGGAATTTGCTTTTATATAAAAAATTTCTAAAACTCATCTTGTAATTATTATTGAACATCGAAAATTTCGTAAATTTAATAGAACTAGTGACCAAAAAATGGATAATTTGTAAATTTATCAAATATAAATTTGAAATATAATTTTATGCACAAAAATTTGGTTATAAATTATTAACGTAAACGGCCTATACCACTAGGCTAAGGATATTTTTCAGCTGAAATTCAGTTTTTCCGTTTTTGGAATAGGCTGAAAAGGCTAGATATGGAGCTATTAATAAATAATCTACAAAAATATGAATTGTTTCGAAAATTTCAAATGTATATAAATGTATATGAATTACTTTTTAGAAAAAATTACCCAATTTATAATATATAAATTTTATTTAAAAAATTTAAATGTTGGCATATGAACCATCAACTTATTTACAAAAAAAATATATACAGACTTTTTTTTTGATTGAGCTAAAATGATGTCATCAGTATTTGGCAGTGTTGTTAAAAACCTCGATTCAGTCGGTTTTTTAAAAATTATAAATTAATATTTAACCCAATAAAATATTACCTATATGCCTCAAGATTTTGGGAAAGGTTGGTTCTCTTGTGGGGAAATGTCGAGGACTATACAATATTAAGATTAGTTGTTTTTTTAAATCGGCTACATCGAAGTTTTACCACACTAAAGAATAAGGATGGGATAAAAGGATATTTTATATTTTTCTACTGCTCTTACAATAGTTGGAACGATGGGCATGGATTGGCATGTGAATTTCAAATTCATAAAGGCCTGCTTTTAATTTAACTCAACAATCACATTTATGAAATATAAAATTTCATCAACATTTGACCTAATTTTTATAAGCTCTACTATTATATTATTTTATGCGATTTTCATGATAACTAAATAAATAAAATTTTTTGAAACAGATAGGATAAAATACTAGTATACCAAAATAATTTTTTGATACTTTTTTAAACAAATATAAATTGGAATTTCTTCTCTTCTATCAATAATATCCATTTAAGAAAGAAAAAAAATTGATGAATAAATTTGATAATTTATGAAATTAAAATTGTAATAATACATTTCAAGTTATTTTTCTTATGCATATACTTTTATTATCGTAATAAAATGACAATTTTTATTGTTTTTTTTATCGGCAGTCTATATTTAAGAATAATTACATAAAACTTTTGATATTTTCTTATGCTAAAACTTGAATGAGTAAGCTAATTTTCTGAGTATAAATTATAAGTCTATCCTTTTTAAGTAATATAATATATTCTTATATTTATTTTTAAACAATAAAGTTCCCCCATAGTCCTGTGGATAGCGACTGGATTATCTATTCTGTTCATCATATTCATAACCTTGCTGGTATGCATGTATTGCAAAAATTGTTTCATAGCTCAACTTTTGAGACGAAATAATCAAAACATCAATCAATGCACAAATGGGATCCTGAAAGAAACTAAATTAGGATATTTTTGATATATCTCAAGTCTTTCTGGGCATATGTGGGATTTATTTTTCCTTGCTTTATTTATTCTCCAATTAATTTTTAAATCCTCCATTTTTTTATCAATTAAAGATTTATAAATATTTAATTTTTACATTTTATGGAGGCGTTAAAATAAAGAGATAAATGATCGTTTTCGTATGTTATGCAATATATGCAGATATAATGCCAAGAAATCAGCCAAAATATAAATTATATTTCAGATGTTTTGTAGATAGTTTTGATTACACTATTTATATGCTACCTAAAAAGAAACGAAATATTTTAAATATTAACAAAATATTTTCGTTTATTTCAACATATCATACGAGATAAAGTGATCGTGTTAACTTATATTATTATAAAAGCTAATTAAAGTTGGTTATTTATATATTGTAATCTGTAAAAGATTTTATCTCGTGGAATTTTTTATATAATATTTTAAACCAATCAATATCTGATCCTTTTGAAATAGTATATAATATATTATAATAAGGATGGTTAATAAAAATATATTAGGATGATATACAAATGGTAATTTTATAGAAACTGTGTATTCCACACTGATTCATGTCACATTACATGCAACCGGTTTTGGTAAATAGCCCATACCTAATTTCTTTCTATTGATAATTTTGATTTGGATTATCTTTGTTAAAAAATATTTAGGAGGTTTTTTAGGGTATTTTTTCATAACTTAGGGGGAGTAGAAAAATCTTTTTAATTAAATCAAGTATATATTTATTATTTAATGTGTTGTTAAGTTACTTTTCATTACAGTTACATTATTAAATTACTTGTTATGATTTTCAAAAAAATAAAAAAATCTAAGTAGTAAAATTTTCTTAGGTAACTAGTTATAATACCTTTAAAAAACAATACAAATTACATCCAATACACTTGAATTTAACTGGTTTTTACAGCTACATTTTCATGTAAAGTAGTTAATCAAGGGCAATAATTATCTGTTAACATTTAATTTAATTATACAAAGTGACGTCACTAGCCTTTACAATCTCAGGAAGCTCATCTTTAAATTTTTATAGTAGGATCTTCGAATTTTTTAGAGGTATTGAGCACCCTCATCTCTAACCCTAGTGGCACTATTGACCCTGCTACAGTTTAGGTTATAGCTCTTTTGAAAACATAACTAGTTACAGATATTTATTAAGTATCGTAAATAAAAAAAAGGATATAAATTGATGACCTTATTAAATTAGTTTGAGAAAATGTCAAATTGATAGAAAAAAAATTATAAAATTAAATAAGCTTTTCATTTCATAAAACCGGGGAATGAGGTCCGTTTGATACAATACATCAAATAGAAATGTAATTATATAGAGATAATACTAATCAAAGTTATAATTATATTTACACATGAATATTTTATTCTTATTTGTAGTCAATGATTGTTCAGCACAATAACATGTGATCTACCATTTTTTAATTTATATATATATAAATTTATCATGGAATAGGTTCGGTCTTCAACCCTTCTTTCTAAATACATTTATACTGAGCACATTCAGTTGTTAAATTGTTGAAGAGTGTCAAAAATAATCTGAAATAATATTATAAAACATTGAATAAGTGGCATTAATGAATGCCTAAGACGTGCTCAGCTCATTTATATTTAATTTGAGCTAACCTGAATTAGATTATTTACTTCATGGCATGCTTAAATAATAAGCGCTAACGACGTAATTGTTGGCTAATGTTGTTAAACGTCCCGATTTAAAAAAATGACCCGATTAAAAATTTAGCCAAAAATATTATGTAAGCCTCGACATTTGACAAATAGAGGTCCAAACCTTTCTGCCTAGGAGCAAAATATCCAGGCTTACATAATATTATTTTGGCTAAAATCTAATTTTTTAAAAATCGACCTTTTAACAACACCACTGTACACAAGATAATATATTATTGCAACGCCAACTACAGAAATCATTTTTACACTGGATTCTATAAAAGGGCTTAGATCATTATTTGGCTCATGATCAATTATTGTTTTAGAGAAAATTTATTTTACCCCCCCCCCCCCCTACCTTCTCTCAATTGCAATTGTTCTCTTGTGTTATATTTCGTTCTTATTTTTAATTCTTGATAAGAAATATGATTGAAAATTCACGAACTGGTGGATCGAAATTGGAACACAAAACACTTTCATTTTTACAGAAACTGGAAAGGATAAATATATAGTTTATTTTTGTTTGTTCCCAGATACTCGTTACAAACATCATTGGTTATTTAATTTTATTTATGTTCGGAGTAGAGGTCCTCTTGGACCTGGACGCCCCGCGGTCCTTAACCTGCCCATATATTTTCAAGCTGGCCTAGGTTTTTGAAATGTTTTTATTAATGGACTTGGGACCAAAAATTTTTTTATTTAAATTTGGCTATTTAAAGCAGTTGTTAATTTATGAAAATATTGCATTTTTTTCGAATAATAAAAAAAACTTCACTATTGCAAACAAAATAAATGCCTAAATAAACTGAAATATTGTTTATTTTCATTAAATTCAATAAATTTATTTGAATATGGAATTAAAATAAATTTTCCTATTAAATATAGGCCAAGCCTGATCCAAAAATTAAGGCCTATGAAGGTCTCAGTTCAGAGTTATGAGCAAAAAAAATCTATCATAGATAAAGAATTTTCTCGGTCCCTAATTATTCCTCCAACGAATTAAATATCAAGCACTTTAAAATTTAAATAATTTTTTTATTCAAGATAGAAGAAACCAGCGCTAAATGTTTAAAAAAATAATAACAAAGCTAAATTTTAAAAAATAATAACAAAGCCAAATTTGAAATTTGAAAAAAAATTTTTTAAAAAAATATAAGCACCTTTTTTTAAATAGTCATCCTATTTTTAAATAATTATTTTATAAATTTTTAAAATGATAATTTATAAATTTTTTTAAAAAAATGATATTTAGAAATTGCATAATTGACTATAAAAATGCTTATATGCCAGAATATTCTTTTTTGTATTCCTTTTTAATCACCATATATGACATTTCGTAGCTGGGTTCATTGCTTTATTAGAATCACAGTTGAACGCATTGGAAAAATCTTCCGAGTTAGCTAAAGTACCCAAGACTCTAATATTTTTTTTAAAATTATAATTTATTTATGATGGTAATTTATTTATGAAGGCTTCTATTGTAGAGGTATCATTAATATCCACAAAAATAGAAATCACGTGTTTGCATTATTCATATACTATTCTTATATTTTAATCGAATAATTGTAATATTAGTATTCATATAAATTCGTCCACTTTCCGATTCGTTAAATTCTTTTAAATATTTTCAAAAAATGAAAATAAAAATGGATTATTAAAATTTAAAAAAAGATGTGATTGATAGATGTGGAAATAAAGTGAGAATAATTTTAAATATTTATGATTTATTTTGAATATATACGAATAAATTTGGAGATTACGAATAATTCAATCTAGGTTTGTTAAAAGATTAGATTCAGGTCAACTTTTAAAAATGGCCTGATTAATATTTTAGTCAAAATTATATGTAAACCTCGAGATTTGGTAAATAGAGGAGCAACATTATTATTTTAGCTAAAATCTTAATAGCGTAGTTTTAAAAAATCGATTTGAATTGGGGCCTTTTAGCAACCCTAATTCTATCGAATAATGGATTTAAAATTAATCAACGTACATTTTCCTTATTCGTATTTTCGAATAGAATAATTTTGTTATTTGTATTCGTAAAAAATGGAGGAATATCGAATAATTCGCTTTAAATAGTGTTATTTTATTCAAAAATATCATGAAAAATTCTTCTTTATAATAAACCTGACCATCGTTTCCGGGGGAAAAGGTCATTTTAGACCATGTCCAAAATAGCAAAAAATTAAATTCGCAAACCTTAGAAAATTTAAACTATTTTAAATGTAAAATTAAAATAGTAATAAAAATGATTTTTTCGAATTTACGAGCTTCGTATTTTTTAGAAATTAGCAAAGTTTAATATCTTTTACCTTAAGATTTTGCGAAAAAAATAGAAGCAATATATTAATCATTTATATTATAATAAATATTTTTAGTGTTTATATGAATATGAATTCATAGAGTGAGAGCTTATCAACACTTTTGGTATGGAATAAAAATCATAAAGTTCAAAGATACCAGTGCGAGCAAGGTAAAATGGGAGAAGATAGTAAAAATATATCATTTTAACTATGATTAGGTAAAAAAAAATATTTGCATCGAATAAAGGAAAATTTAATAAGTGTTATGTTAGCATTAAGCAAAAATCAGGTATATATAAATTAAAGGTTCTGGGTTATGATTACAATAAACATTTAAAATTTGCTAAACAATATTATTGGTTAAAGGAAAATGTGGAATATATTGGCAAACTTGCCTGTTCCTTTAAATATAATTTTAAGCTAGTAAAAATATCTTCCTTACACACCTTCTAACACAAAAATGTATACAATATATCATTAAGCATTATTTTTTTTAATATTATTAATAAAAATATCTAAAAAATATACAATCTTAATAAATTTTTAGGTTTTTTACAGAGAGCTCGCTATCTTTTTTAGTAGCTATAGCTAATAGAGCGCTACTTTTTTTCAATTATTTATTTTTTTAGCGCGCTTCTTTTTTTGACTTTTTAAATTATAATGAATGTAACTATAAACATGAAAATTTAAATATAATATAATAATTAATTATAATTTATTATTTAATTTTGAAATTGAAATTTTCAATTCGTATTATAAACCTAAATCATCTGGTGTAAATTATTTAAAATGTCTTCGCAAATGGATATCTCGATGTAAGTGAGTCAGGCAATTATGATATTAATGAAATGGAACCCTGGCAGAAAATTTTCTTGATAACAATAATATAAATTTCCCATTTCCAAAATTTGCAAATTAATGTAAAAAAAAGGTGGAAATTTATTTGTTTAAACTGTAAAAAAATATATTCTCAAATTCTGAAAAAACACATATAGGCAATTGTCATTTTTTAAATTTTAATAGT